ATACACGAGGTAACAAATGAGCATTTCCTAAAGTGAAAATTACCTTTTGTTTCCAATATAATCAAATTTTCAAAAATAAGTTCAGATTTCTCTTCGAATTAGCTATGGAATAACTAAAAATCCAACTACAAATGAATACTCGATAGTGATGAAATTACATGATTATAGTAAATGTCCTTTGTGTCAAAAAATGAGCTCTGCCATGACTGTTTCGGTACATCACAAACGAATTTATAACGATGAATTATCTAGCGGAGATAAAGATATCGACAATCTAATAAAAGAATGCAACAAAATAATTAAATATGAAGATAAAATATTCGAATGGATTCCTTTTTGAAATATTTATCAACGTTGAAAATCTTATAAAAGGAGGTTTTGCGTCAATTTCTAAGGCACTCCGGCTGGATGATCCATTATGACATTATTATTATAATGAATCCATACCCGAGTGAAAAATAAATGGAAACGATATGGAGAAAGTAAACTTGTGTTGAAATCATTACACAAAGCAAATTACTTAAGAGTTTATAAAAAATGAACATTTTCTAAGTTTCTGATGCGATCAATTTTTTCAACAATAGATTCAGACTTCTATTAAATGCATCAAAGATGATTCCCGGAATAACTTAAAATCATTCACAGATAAATATTCGTACATGTATTGCGCAAAAAGATGGTGATCTCCGAAACTACATTTATATTAATTCTAACTACATGCACATGTTTACTTGGAAACAAAAATTAAGTACTAATTTTGTAATATTACAATTAAATTTTTAAGAAAATTCTAATATTTTTTATAATATATCTCATTATATTTTATTAATCTTATCAATTTTATTAAATTTTATATATATTATTTAACAAATTATTTTATTAATTAAAATATATAAATTTAAAATTATTATTGAAATTAATTAATATATATTCAAAAATTGATATAAAGTAATTTTCATAATTATAATATCAAAAAATTATAAAATATAATGAAAATTAAAATTTTCTCTCTTTTTAAAGTTTAATATTTTATTAAGAAAATAATTATATCAAAATAAAGTTTATAAATTATAGTTAATATAATAACTATTAAATATTATATATTGGAAGGTTAAATTAATTAATGAAATATATAATAAAATTAAAATTTACTTTTTATATTAAATTTTATAATTTTATTAAAAAACAATTTTTATTTTTGTATTAAAATAAAGCTTATAAGTATAGTATAATTTATTTTAGATTTTTTAGATTTTTTCAAAGAATTATTCTAATTATAAAGTTATTGCAAAAGTTTTTTCTAATTAAAATTTAGTTTAATTAGAAAAAAATTTTGCAATAACTTTATAATTAGAATAATTCTCTCAAAAAAATTAAGTTAAACTATAACTTATAAATTTTATTTTGATTTAAAAATAAAAATTATTTTTAATAGTTATAAATTTTAATTTAAAGAAAAAATTTTCAATTTTTATTATGTTTTATAATTTTTTGATATTATAATTATAGAAGTTTTTTAATTTAATATAAATATATTTAAAAGTTATTTAATAAAATAGATTTTTATAATAAAATTTTGTAATATTAAATAAAAAAATATATAAAAATAAATAATATAATTCAATATAAAATATAATATACAAAAAATAAAAGTTATAAATTAAAATATGACTTGTTATATCAATAAATTTTAAAAAGCTAAATTTATAGGTTTTAGATATTATTATTATAAGTTTATAATTTTAAAAATTTCTTTAAGCAAATATATTATTAAATATATAATAAATATATTATTATAAATAAAATAAATATATTTAACAAATTAAATTATTTATTATAAAGAAAATTGAATTTTAGTCATTTTTTTAAATTAATTTTTTTAATGTGAAAAATTAATTAAAAAAATAATATTTAATAAATAATTTATATATTCTTATATTAATTACTTATTATAAAAAAATTTGAATTTTAATTATTTTTCTAAATTAATTTTTTTAATGTGAAAAATTAATTAAAAAAATTAATATTTAATAAATAATTTTATATAATTTTTTATTATAAATTTTTATATTATTTAAGTAATTTTTATTAAATTATAATAAATTTTTAAATTATTATTTTTTATTTCATATTATATAATTAATTTTTCTTTATTTATAATATATATAATTATTCAATAAATTTTATATAATAAAATTTATATTTATAATATATATAATTATTTAGTAAATTTTATATAATAAAATTTATATTTTTAAACTTTAAATCTAAATTTCTTTGTAATTATTAATTTAATTTTGCTAAAATTTGAATTATATATTTTTTAATATATTTAGTACAGACTCTCAAAATTATATATTTATAATTAAGTATATTTGCTAAAAATATTAAAATATAAATTTAGAAATTATATTAAATTATATATTAATAATTAATTAATATTTTGATATTTAATAAATTCATTATATTATTAGAATTCAAAAAGATCTATAATAGTAAAGATATATTATACATTAATAATTAATTAATATTTCAGATTTAATATTATATTATTTACTAATATTTATTAAATTTGATAAGCATTCTTATTTATAATAATAATATTTAAAAATTATTTTGATTTTTAAATATACAAAGCTTATTCTTAAAAGCAAAAAGTTTATTTTATTTATTATTAAATTAAGGTATAAAAATAAAATAGAAAGTTATATTAAGCTGTACTCTACTTAATATAAAAAAATAGTTAAATTTTAAATAACTTTTATTAAAAGTAATTATTAACTTTTATTTTTATATATTTATATTTATACTAAATAATAATAATAATAATATCGCTTATTAATTATATTTTTAATAAAAAGATTTGAATAATATATATTTATTTAAATCTTCGAATTTAAATTAGATATTTAAATATATATTTATAATATAAATTCAAATATAAATTCAAATTTTTAAATACTTTTTTTAATAATACATTAGAACTTATTTTGTACTTATAAATATCATAAACCAGTAAATTTAATTAATTAAATACTAAAATAATAAAAATATTCAAATCTAATTATATATTTATTAGTATTTTTTCAATATAAAAGATATTATAACTTTATTAAATGTAAGATATAATATTCTAATATTTAAAATACAGTTATAATTATTATTATTTCAAATTATTAGAAAAATAGATGTAATAAAGGAGAATAAAAGCAAACAATTTTTTTCAAGAATTTGAAGTCATGAAATATTTACATTTTATAAATTAAATAAACTTTTTAGCTAAGTAAATTTAAAATTTATTCCATCAATATGATTAAAAAGACCTATTCTAATATTTTGATGAATAAAATTTTGAATTTATTTAATAGTTAAAAGTTTATTCAATTTATAAAATATAAATATTGGCGGACTTTAGATACTTTAGATGAAATGCAATATATACTGATTATTTTTCAAACAATAATGAATATCAATTTACATACTAAATAAAAAATTTTATATATAAATTATATAAATGCAGAACTTAAAATATTAATTTTCGCAAAATCAAGATTTTATTGATTTGGTTTTTACTGACTGCTTCCCATATGATCATTGCTACACATTTTATTGAGATTAATATACAAGGTAAAGAATTCAAATTGAATTAGCTTTAAATATTCTTGATCACTAAAATAGAATTTCCGGGTGGGAAGCAGTTATTTCATCAGGGGTCGTTTCGCTTGACATAAGGATATCCTTGATATTACATGTACATGTGCTGCTTAATTTCTTAATTTGTATTATCGCCGTTATTAAGAACAAAAATCCGATGTCATATTAATGGGAGTTAATATATAGAAACATGTATTTGGCAACATTAGCCAATTAAAATTGCAATCTAAGGTATTAGTTTAATCGTGTGATGTAGTTTGGATTTGGTTTGGATTGCGTCAAACAAAACTTATCTAAGATTGATCGAAACCAAATCCATACCTCTATGTGAAGATACCCATTGATTAATCCAAATCGATCTTTTGCGCATGGGAATTAAGATCGTCATCTTTGGTATGCTGTAGAACAGTAATGCAGTATACGTACATTAATGAAAGACATAGTCCTTCTAAAAAGATATTTCTAAGTCCTTATCTCGTACATAGTGAAAGTTTTTGCACATTCAGGAAAAAATGTCAAAAATAATTCAGGATACATGTACTTTGAATAAAGGAAATGAATGGCTTGAGTCCACAATAATAGAAAATCAAATAAAATTTTTCGACTTTAATGGATTTATCAAACAAGAGGTTATCGGCGAAGGAGCTTTTGGAAAAGTATATAAAGCGAAATGGAAAAATGATGAAAAACTAACTTGTGCTTTGAAAAGTTTACATATAATAAACAAAGAGCATATGGAAAATATATATAAAGATTTTATTAAAGAGGTATGAAAAACAATTTAATGTATTATATTAGTATTTCTATATTAATTAAAATAATTAATGTGTATCATTAGTTACAATTTTTAATTAAAGTCAATCATAATCGAAATATTATTCGTTTTTACGGAATCACAAAAGGTAAAATTATACTTTAATAGTCACCACGTAATATTTTGACTTGATGATATTAATAGATGTTTTAATTATGTTAATAATGAATTGATTTAAATATTTTTTAAATTGCCACGAACAGATCCCGTTTCGCATGATTACATGTTCGTACTAAAATATGCTAATGGCGGAACCCTTCTAGACTATTTAAGTAAAAACGAGTTAAAAGGAGACAGAAAACTCTCATTGGCGAAGCAACTTGCAAATGGATTGAAATGTATCCACGACGAAGGCATAATACATCGAGATCTGGTAAAAGAATTTCTCATCGTGTAAACTTTTTACAAAAGTTTAATAATATATATTAAATTATTGAATATATGTTGTTAGCATCACAATAATATTTTAGTTCATAAAGGGAAGATTAAAATTGCGGATTTAGGCTATTCAAAGATTTCAAACGATGACCAAATGATAAAGAACGTGGAACTATCTATTTCGAAAAACTCAAATGAACATCCATATTCAAAAACTGGCCTCGGATTAATATATTATGTTGATCCGGCATATATAAAAGATTCAAAATTTAAACGAAATCAGAAGTCAGACATATACAGTCTTGGAGTACTCTTTTGGGTAATTTCGAGTGGTAGAGCTCCCACCAATAAATTTAGTTATCTTTCGCCACATTCAGGTGAAAAAGAGACAACAGCATTTGGAACGCCGATAAAATATGTTAATTTATATCAAAACTGTTGGAATTCCGAGCCAGAACATCGTCCAGACATTTATAAAGTTGTGGAACTACTAAATGATATTGAATGGCCATCAAAATATCTTGATACAGATCAGCATTCTATTTCAATTAGAATTAGTACTGATAGCCTTTCACAATATTCTAATTCGAGTAATAATGAAAAAATTTCAACAAAAGATATCATTGATGAGTTATGGGATTTATTAAATAAGAATCTCAATTCAGGCGAAACAGTCAACAAAACAATTAAAAAGCTAGATATTTATCTTAAGACGAAAACAACAAATTATAAGAAAATACAAGAAATTCTACAAACCACTTCTAGAAACTCCAAATACCTAACGCTTTTAGGTTTTCTTTATCATTCAGGAATAATATTTGACATGGATCATGAATTAGCATTTATTAAGTTTAAAGAAACAGCAAAGGAAGATGAACCTTTGGCGCAATTTTTAATCGGTTATTGCTATATGAAAGGAATAGGAACAAACGAAAATTTAGACGAATCTTTTATATGGTTTCGGAAATCAGCAGATAACGGGAATATATGTGGACAATATGTATTAGGAGAATGTTATTTTCACTCACTTTGTTGCGATCAAAACTATGATGAAGCATTTAGATGGTTTAAAAAAGCCGCAGAAGGAGGGAATTCCTCAGCACAAAATTGTCTCGGTATTTGTTACGAAAATGGCTACGGGATACAAAAAGAAAAAAAGGAAGCTTTTGATTGGTATTCGAAATCAGCAAACGCAGGAAATTCGTTTGGTCAATTTAACCTGATTAAATGCTATGAAAACGGCATAGGAACAGAAATGAATCAGAAAAAAGCATTTGATTTGTATTTAGAATCAGCCGAAAATGGAAATGTACAATCGCAATTTTATCTCGGGATATGTTATGAGAATGGTCGCGGAGTAGAAAAGGACGATAAAAAAGCATTTGAATGGTATCTAAAATCAGCTAAAAATGAGCATTGTGCTGCTCAATGTAATACTGGTGTATGCTATGAAAAAGGTCAAGGAATTGAGAAAAATGAAAACGAAGCGTTTCGGTGGTATTTAAAGTCAGCAGAAAACGGTGATTCCAAAGCTCAATTTAATCTTTTTATGTGCTATAAAGAAGGTCAAGGAACTGAGAAAAAAGCAGACGAAGCGTTTCGATGGTGTTTAAAATCGGCGAAACAAGGAAATAAAACCGCTCAATACAGAGCTGGAGAATGTTATCAAAATGGATTTGGCACACAAAAAAATGATGAGGAAGCATTCAAATGGTACTCCGAATCTGCAAGAAATGGAATTGCTGAAGCACAATATCATGTTGGCATATGTTTTTATTTTGGCTATGGAATAAGGAAAAATGAGCAAGAAGCGTTTGCTTGGTGTCTTAAATCAGCAAATAATGATTTTGTTGATGCACAATATACTCTTGGGAGATTTTACGAACACGGTCAAGGTCATTCGAGAAATTTAAATGAAGCGTTCAAATGGTATAGGTGCGCAGACAAAAAGGGACATTCAAATGCCAAGAAACGACTTCATTCTTTGAAGTTTAAATTATATTCATGTTATGTTAGATTGTTATTATAGATTATATTTTTGCTATTCTGTTGGTTTAAGTTAGTTTTAATAGATTCCAAAGTTTATCTTTGAAGTTTCAAGTATATTCATGATGTGTTAGATTGTTATTATAGATTATATTTGCGTTATTCTATGTAGCTCAAGTTAGTTTTAATAGATTTCAAGGTATCTTTGAAGTTTCAAGTATATTCATGGTATGCTATATTGTTATTACAATTATATTTGTTATTCTATGTAGTTCAAGTTAGTTTAATAGATTCCAAAGCTTACCTTTGCAGTTTCAAGTCTATTCATGGTATGTTAGATTGTTATTATGGATTTTATTTGCGTTATTCTGAGTAGTTAAGTTAGTTTTAATAGATTCTAAAGTTTAAATATTATTTTTTTTATTTTTACATATAACTATCATTAAATCATGAAACTATTTTTATTTTAAATTTTATTAAATGTAAAAATGTTCAAATTTTTAATTTTCAAATTATAAATAATCTTTGATTAATATAGAGTTATCATAAAATAGTCATAAAACCAAAAATTTTATAAGGTCTTTATGTACAATTAAAAAAACAATTACATACTATTTTTATAGAGAAAGTTTGATATTTAAAAGAGTTTACCTGTCCAACTTTTTCAAGACTTTTGAATTGCAAGAGCGAGAGAATTGCTTATTTTAGCTGCTTTATGGTACTTTTTAATTTTAATCATGTAATTGCTTTCAAATTTTCGCATAGATATTTTAAAATATAAATTGTAAATTTGCAGAAAACTGGGTTCAAAGAAATTTTTGTGCAAATAATAATTATTAATTATATATTAAACATTCAGTATATAATTTGTATGCTTATAATTTTTTAATTCATATATTTCACTTAAGTTGAAAATGAAAAAGAATGATCTAGAATTATTAAATATATATATATAACTTCAAGAAAAATTTCTTTATTATAAATAAAGATTTATAAAATTTCAAACTATATTACAAAAGTTATTCTTTACAAAAATTTTATAAAATTATAGTAAGATTAATAGAAATAAACGTAGAATTATAATATATTAATCAAAATTAATAATAAATTTTATAAAATTGTACAATATTAATATAATTTTTAAGAGAGAAAGTTTAATTTATATTATAATTGGAATTATATAAAAATTTTATTATTCAATTAATAAATTAAATAAGTATATTTTTATATAATATTTATCATTAAATATTAGATTATTATTATTAAAAATTATTATAATTTAAAAGTTTAATTTCTATTGTATTAGAAAATTTATTTTATTAATAAAATATAGTAAAAATTAAAAAATTTTTTATATTAAAGTTTATAATATTATTACTAATTTCAAAATAATTACAAAATAATTTTTAATTAAAATGAAATTTAATTAAAAAAATTTGTAATAACTTTATGATTAAAATAATTTTTTTCAGAAAAATCTGAAAAAAAATAATAAACTTTAAAATAAAAAGAAAATTTTAATTCTTACCATAATTTATTAATAAAATTGATTTTCTAATACAATATTCATGAAGTTTACTATATATTTTCTTGCAAAAATAATATAATATAGTAATTTTAATAATTAATAATAATATTATTATTAGTTTATTTATTATAATTAAATAATTTGAATAATAATATTTTTATATAAATTGAATACTAATCATTAAAATATTATATATTTTTTAATTTTAATAAAAATTTCTCTTTCAAATTTTAATATTTTAATATAATATATAAAATGATTATTTTTTTCTTTTATTAGTATATTCTTATATTTTATACTAGTTTTATATCAAATTAACTATGTATATTAACTATAATAAATTTATTTTTATATTCAGATAGTTGAACAAAAATTTATTAATAACTTAATTATATAAATATTTAAATAATATTTTTGAACTGGTCCAGAAACTAATCTTGTTTATATTATTTATAAATTTATCTATTATAATTTTAACTTTATTTCTTTTATTTATACAACTTTATTTTATTTGTAATAATTAAGAATAAAATAATTATACATAATATAATTAATTTTCAAATAATATCTAATAAAATATTAATATTAATATCAGTTTCTGAAATTAATATTTTAATATATAATCAAAAATAAAGTGCTTTGAAGACTTGCAATAAAAATATTTGAAAGTTCAGATTTATTTTAAGTAATTTAATTCTTTTATTTTGTAATTATTCATGAATCTTTAATTTTATAATTAATTTCAATACCTTTTCTATTATAATAGATTATATTTTATTTATAAATCAATAATTTTAAATAATATAAATCTATTTATTAATTATAATAATTTATTAGCTACTATCTTCCATCTGAACTTGCCATAAATTTGATGGATAGTATTATCATATAGCTGCACTCATAAATTCAAATTACCACTCGATTCTCCTAGCTGAGAATCGAATGATAATATTTTTGATAGAATCTGTTCTAAAGTAATTAATCGTAACAAAAATGAATCGAACGCTTTATCATCTTAGTCAAGATGTCAAATCATATAGTTGATTCTTTTTTGACGATCAATTCTAATGGTCAATAAAAAATAATTAGTGGTGCAATCTCTCAATGTTCAGTGACTTGATTTGAGGGAAAATATTACCCTCTGATTATGTCTCGACTAGCAAACTGAGTAGTACAGTAGCCGTCATAAGTATCCAATCGTCCCTAATTTCCCTCACAGGTATGCGAATTTAATTTTAAACCATTTTGCTCGAATCGTATCAATAGATGCCAAGAACCGAATCACGGGACGTCGAGATTTTTAAACATCCAGTGCCCGATATAGGAGTTTATCTCTGTAAAAGACGCAAATGATCAATATTTGTATTGTTTTTGTGCTCATTACACAAAGCTCAAAATCCGTAGCTGCATGTAATTTCGTATGCAAATTTTTATAGTGGAAATCATGTGATTTATTAATGGTATCCAATCGATGCTTGAATTTACACTCATTCATTCAAAATACATGTAGGTGGCATCATATCATAGAAAATTGTTCATAACCATTCTATACTTTATTTATGATGATATGTATTTACTGTATTTTGATGATAAATTTTGAACTAAATGTTAGGTGTTTGAATCATTTGGTCATGATATTGTGATTTGATCGGTAAGAAGGTTTGAAGCGGAGGAGGCATAGAAACAGGATATTTGTATAATCGGACTATAAAAAAGGCGGCTAATGCAAAAGGGACGACGAGGCAAATAGATATTCCGATAACAAATTTTCTGTTATTTTCCTTCTTTTTTGGGGTTGATATTCTGTTTGGATTTGCTTGGGCTGATGTATTGCTTTGATTTGGTTGACTTGGATTTGATGGACTTAAGATTGGTTCGTCAATTGAGGTTAACCATTGATATTCATTATTTTCTGCATCAACTTTTAGAACTGAAATTGGTGAAGGATCCTCAACAGAAAGTTTGTCACTTATATTTCCTAAAATAAAGTGTCATGTATTTAAATTTAAATCAATGTATAGAAACAGTTTTTTTTAGATATGAAAAGCATACCGAATGCAACAATCATATATGTATTACTAATAAGTGTGGCCGAATGATAGAAAGGTATCGTTTGATCAGTCAGGTATGTAATATTTGGTATATTCCAAGCGTATGTATCAGTATCGTTATTTATTTCTAAAATGGCCAAAGCATTGCTAGAGTTGATCGGATTGAGCGGACTGCTACGTCCGCCATAAATGAGAATCTTATTATTTGCTACTATAAAACTACATAATATTTAGAAAAGGTCTAAAAAGCCGAATTTCAATAATAAAATAATTTACCTAAGCATGCTGAATGTCCAACACGACTTGGTAAAAAGTTTCCCATTTGAACTGTCTTCATTAAATATATTTAAGCAATGTATTTTAATTCATAATAAATTCTTTACAAGAAGATTAATCAAGATTAATCAATTTACTTTAGTTGTCCATTGATTGGTCAGAGTAGAGTAAATCAAAATCTAAAAGAAAAAATTTATCAATATGGTTAGAAAAAATCAATTAATATGTTTTCTTAATACACCAACCTGATTCATTGGTGAAATCTCATCCCCATTGTTTTGATAATTTCCATTGAATCCGCCCAAGTAAATGATTTTTTTTAAATTTTCTAAATAAGTTGCTGTGTAATAAGCTTTTTGGGTTGCTGAATTGATTGGAAAATATTGCCAACTACTTTTGTACATATTCCAAACATACATAGTATCATAACCGTTAAATAAATATAGCTTTCCAGTAGAGGTGTCAATTAACGAAGTTAATCCATCTAGACCGTAAGGAGCATTAGCTCTGCTCGAATCAGTTTCACTTTTCCAAAAAAGTGGGCTAGTTGATAAATTCATCGAAAATACATTTATGGCTTTATTCTGCAATTAAAACTTTCGAACTTAGTAAAATTTTAATAATGTTTGTATGAGAAATAAAACATATTTTACTACCTGACTACCAAATGAATAAATTACTGAATTAAATAGTGCAGAAGTAGCAAACGTAATATTATAGGAACTCGCGTTCAGTTTATTAACGTCTAGTTTATCGAACTTTGGGGCATTGATATCAAAAATGTTTGATATATCAAGTGTAAAAAATTTATTTGACCCAGAATTATTATAAAAGTAAATTTTATAATTATAATAAATTGCCGCTTGAACAGAACGTCCAGATGGTATAAATTCATTTGAAGTAATTGCATTTATGAACATTAATAACAGCGTTAACAAGAATATCATATTAATTTTTACATAGATTTAGTTTCACATGTGTATGTATTTTCTAGCTTTTATACAAGCTTGAGCAAAATTTAAGTTTACAGTTGAGGTTCACCCGATACATGTATATAAATAGATTTTTATTTAACGTTAAAAAGGTATCTACACTGTGTGTTCTAGGATCTTTTCTTTTTACAATATCGGTAGTTTGTATAATAACAATATGTACATGTACTAAATATTTTTAGATATGCACATGAGTATTAACGTTAATAATCCTTTTTATTTGTGTTACATCATACATGGACTTTTAAATTTTTGAGATTTAACCGATTTGACCTAAATGTAGTTGCACGCAACTATGCATAAATCATGAATGTGACATATTTCTTTTAACTCGTTCAAATGAATGAATTCTATATAATGTGAATAAGATAAATTCCCGAATCGGCTTTAAAGTTTATAAATTTGAAATTTAGAATGGGGAACATTACCCGAATAAACTATCTATTGAAAATAACGGATACATGTAATATCTTTTTTACTTAATCTATGAATGTATAGTTATACATGTATTTAGAAATAGTACTGTTATATATAAAAATCACGCTCTATTAATAAACTTTATGCTTTGATATTTTTAAATACAAATAATAATTCAAAGCCGTATGCATTATTACGTGTTAATACATGTATATAATCTTTGGAAAAAATCATCCTTTTGCGCTAATACAAAAACTGTATATGCATGCACATGTAAAATTTTATTTTTCACTTAGTACACATAATAATAATAGTAATAGTCGTCACAAAAAGTGACGCCCGATTTGCCTGCATTGTTACGCGACACAACATGATTCGTTAAAATAGGTTGGCGTTAACTTAGTCTCAGAAATAATTTAGAAACACGAGAACAATATCGTCGTCGTCGAACCGAAAAATCTCATGATCACGGAATATTCTGGAGTATTGCTGAATTTCTTGATTTTGTATTCCTGTGAGTAATGTGTAACGAAAACTTAAAATAATTAATTAATACTCACACATAGGTCCCAGAAATTCCTACAAACTTCCTACCTTGTGACGCGATCCAACAAACTCCTACTTTTTAGTATCAACATTAATACGGTGAATTCCTGCAAAAATACCTAAGGGAGACTATCGATACCATTAATGACTATCGTTAACATAATAACGATAAGGAATAATTAATTAGTGCACAAACAGCAGCAGCCACAATAGTTAAATTAATTCACGATCAACATACAACATCTGACACCGATAAAGTTACTGTAGTAACCTTGCAATTTGTGAGTCCATAGTTCTTTTTATTAGCACACCACTTGAAATATTGTTATGATTTCTGGACTAATATCGATACCGGTTCGTAAGTTTATTCATGCGTTTGCTTTATTAATTTTTTGCTACGACTATCAACTCTCATTTAATTCCTTGAAAACCCCGTTTTTTGGCAAGCGTTAAACCCTTTTAATCGATTTTTCTGATGATTCATATTTCTCTTTTCCTCCCCAGAAACTCTTTTGTCGACATCGTTCATATTGTGCTTGATCTTATTGTACGGAAGCTGGAATTAGCAATAATTTAGAAAACAATTTGTATAAAAAAAGGCGAGATGCTAAGCCTTTGAACACTTATGCTCTAATCAAATTAATAATAAAAATTAATTCTTTTTACCTGTAAAAGCCCCTTTATTCGCGAGCAAGCTAATTTTTTTTTCCTTCGGTTATCTTCAAACCTTGCATACAAGTAGTGAATGACTTCACTCAGAATATTCCGTAATTTACCTCTGATTTTGTTGGCAGAAACTAAGTCCAACTTTCGATTTGAATATTTGTGATTTTTGATTAGCTGAAACCATCTGGGTCATTACTCCAAAGTAACCTCTGTGACACACGTTAAGGCAATCAGAAACATTCTCGAAGCATCTTTTTGTAGTCTAGAGTAGACTCTTTTTGTTGCTGGTGATCAGAAACCTCCTTTGCGCCCCTATTAATTTAACATTTGTAAAGGTTGATTTGCATACGAATCACCACAGGAAACCTTTAGAACAAATAAAGAATTTTTAATTGTAAAATATTCAGGCTTGCTCTTATTCTTACCTTGTTGCACTTGCCCTCTAAATCCATTAATTACCGGAAGTACACAACGGTAGTATTAACATTAATACCATTTTCCTAAAAGCAAGAAGTGCACCCAAGATATTGATTAACGTCTATTTTATATGTTCTCCTCTATTGTGTGATCCATAATTATAATTGATTTTTGCAACATAATCATAATTTTACTTTATTTCTTTACATAACATTTTACATTAGATTTCATTTTATTATATACATATCCTTTTTCTTTTTGTGAATGTTTCTACTAAATTCTTACCTTGTACTCTAATAACACAAACTGTAATTGATGAATTGCATTTTAAATAGTTGCGTAAAAACGAAAACTGTATATATAAGATAGTTCTCAAAGATGTGAGAGACAGGCATGTGTGATTTGAAGAAATAAAAATTATTTTTAATTCTTAGCTTGGCTTTTATTTCTTTTGTGCAAAAACGAAATGATCTCTAATTCTCTTTGTGCCTAACAAATTAAGGTTTTACTGGCCATACAAAAGTCGATGCATTCTATTTGATTTATTGGAGATTAATTTTATTATTTTGACATTACCTTTTGTTATTTTGATATTGTTATTGTTATGATATTAATTTTGTTATTTAGTCTATTTTGAATTTATTAATTGTAACAATAAAATTTTTTTGAAATTAAATTATTATTTTAACCTTATCTTTGCATCTTTGTTAAAGATTGGCGCAGAAGAGCTTTAAAGTCCCAGTGAAACCCACTTTGTGTAAATCATCATTCAGTCTTCGTCCTCAATTCATTATTCAACCTAATTTCCAAATGGTGTGTGATAGTATTTTGATAAGCTTCTAGTATTTCGCATAATAAAAACATCAAATCTCACAGTTGCAATAGAAAATTAATTATCTATAATATCTTAATCAATTTAAATATTTAATTGACATTTGATTCAAAATTTACATTAAAAAAATTATATTCATATTGGAAAAAATTATTTTTGATTTGGAATAAATTTTTTATAATCTTAAATTCTATAAATTTATTATCTATAGGTATTAAGATTCGATTTCTTAATAAACTGAGTTGATTAAATCTCTTTAAGAATCTTGTTTCCTGAAAAAAACTTTCAGACTGATAAAAATTTTATGCAAATAAATCTTTCCTAATTTGAATTCTTTTTACAATCCTCTTTTTTGATATTTAAATAAAGATTTCTGTCAAGATATATATTCAAATTATAATCAATAAGATTTAAAATTTAATTCTGCATATTAATATTTTTATTTATTATAATATATAATTACAATTATAAATAAAGTTAGCAATATATTTATTAAATTGAATTTCAACTTTATCTTTTTAATATAATTTATCTATTTATAAAGAATTACAGTCAGATTCTATATAGTCATATCTTTTTATAGTTATCTTTTTATAGTCACCTTTTTTAAGTTTTTAGTTACTAATTAACTATAATTAAAAAATCTCTTTATAATTGCATCTTTTTTAGTTATCTAATTTACTTTTTCAAGTATAATAATTATAGAGAGATCTGAATGCAATCAATTCAAATTATAATTAGATTTCTTTATAATAGTTATATTTTTTTATAATTATATCTTTTTATAATTATATTTTTTTATAGTTATTCTTTTTAAATTTTTCAATTATTAATTAATTATAATTAAAAAAATCTTTTTATAATTATATTTTTTATAATTATTTAGTTTTGCTTTTTCAAGTATAATAGTTAAAGAAAGATTTAATTATATTAGCATTTCAACTAATATAATTTCTTTTATATATTTTTAAAATTAATAAAAAAAATAATTAAAAATATTATCTAAATATTAATATTAATAAATAATAATTTATAATAATAATTTATAATAATAATATTATAAATAATTATATAAATAATAATTATAATATATAAATTATTAATAAATAAATATTAAATAATATTTTATATAATAAAATAACAAAATATATAATTCAAAATATTATTCAAAAAATTATTAAACTTTATTATAAATTAAAAAAATAAATTAATTTGAGTCTAAAACAATAAATTTTTTTAATTGATATATTTATTTATAATTAATTATATAATAATTAATTTTTCTTATATTACAAAATAGTATAATAATAAAAAACTTTATATAATAATTAATTTTTTATATTATAAAATAATATATAATTTTTTACTTATATTTTAGATAATAAATATATTTTATAATATAATATTAATAATAAATTTAATTAATAAATAAAAGATTTAATATATTTTAATATATAATTAAGTATAAAAATTCTCTTTACTTATATTATTTATATTAATATCTAAGTATAAATAAAAAAAGTTCAAATAATAATTAGACTTAGATTTTATTTATAAATAAAATAAATTTCTAACTGTTAATAATATAATTAATTTTAAATATAATTTAAATAAATAAAAGATTTAATATATTTTAATATATAATTAAGTATAAAAATTCTTTTTACTTATATTATTTATATTAATATCTAAGTATAAATAAAAAAAAGTTCAAATAATAATTAGACTTAGATTTTATTTATAAATAAAATAAATTTCTAACTGTTAATAATATAATTAATTTTAAATATAATTTATTTAAATAATCTTTTCTTAAAAAATTTATATATATAGTTTAAAATAATAAAATTACTATAAATTTATTAATTATTATATTTTATTTGAGTTTTAAAAAGCTAATATTAATAATATAATAAATAATTTTATAAAGAAATTTTAAATATTACTTTTTTAATTATTTTTAAGTTTTTTATTATAAAAATTCAAAAATTTTAATAAAAATAATAAAATATATATTATATATAAGATAATTTTGTTAATGATTATAAAC